GGATCTATCAGTCATCTAATCCAATCTTCCACTCAAAGCAATGACATCTTAAAAACAATTGCCCAAGTTTTGTCCTGTAAAGTTTCTAAGTACGCAGATTCACACCTCACTGAAGTGCTTGATTAGCCTCATAGTGATTTTTTTTTTTTTTTTTTTTGGGTAATAACATAAACTTAGATGAAAATTAAAAGGAAACAGAGTCTGCACATATTAGGTAATTGCTTGATGAATTCTTGTAAAATTAATATGATGAAGGTAAGAAAATGTAACTTTATAGTTTCATTAATGTACAACAGTCCTAGTAAATGCAAGTTCAGATGCCAATGCTGTACACTGCTTTAAATGTTTATAAACCCACTGAAAATCATGGCTAGATTCAAAAGCAGAATTTGAGCACATAAACTTTACAGAATGCTTTGTATAATTTTTTTGCATGCACGCACATTCTCAGCAATGCAGAGAAGTGAGCTCAGTGTACATTCAGCATGAAACTGAAACTGAAAACATCCTGAGAAACGTCCTTTCAACATAGTTAGGTTTCTTATGACTTAAATCCTGAATAAGATCAGCCTACAAACTGTGCTATTGGTGCATGTTATACACTGTCATAAGAGTTGGGTGGTTCCTGTTGTGCAAATAGGATAGAGCTTTGAGAATCTTTGCAAATTATTGCAATGACCTGCATAAAGATCTCATGTGAGTATAACACTGATAAAATGCAAATTGATATTTCCTGTATTTCTGGCTGACGGATTGCAGGTTTTCCCCCTATATTCTTAAATTTTACAACTTCTTCTTAAGATTTACTTATTTTCAAATTATTACTGGGATACAGACTCTGATTCTGAATGAAAGACTTGATAAGTTCCAGATCCTAAAACACAGGTCCATATAGATATTTTTAGAAGCTGAAATTTTTAGAAGCTGATATTTTTAGAAGCTGATATTTTTAGAAGTTGAAACTCTCTTACAATTCTATCTTCTCTTGTAGGCAAAGGCAGAGGAGTGGTGCTGGTGAGCCTCTTCAGCTTATGCATGAAGATGTAGCTCTTAGTAAATATTTCATCCTGAAATTCTGGGAGGATTTGAATGGACAAAAAAACCTCTGCATATATTTGTATCTATATATTCCTGTTTACTTTCTTTACTTGTTATTAACAAACTACCTGCAGGTTGTTTTGATTGTACAGCAAGGCTGGAAATTTTCATCTTCTGCATCCCAGAAAAAGCACAAGCTATGAAGAGGAGAAGTTCTTGTGCCTCTCTGAGAAGCCTTTCTTTCTGTAGAAGCTGAAGATATGAAAAAAAAAATTTGCAGTGTATATTTTGCCAGAATGTCAGTCTGTATTCAGTAATGCTGCTAAGAGCTGAAAGGCTCTGAAAGGTTCTATGATATACACAGCTGCTTTTTAAATGTAACAAAATTTCACCCCAATTCTATCCTAGTATCTATAGAAAAAAAAAATTCAGCCATATTATAATGATTGTATTTGTCATGGAACAAAAAACTGACAGTGGAAAATTTTCAACAGGTGACAGTAAAACAATGCAGGGAAAGTGAGAATTCACAGATAGTGTGAGCAAAGGAGGAAGTGAGAAATTCTATCTCTTCATCTGAAGGCTGAAGGGAGACGGAGAGCAGACTGAAATGATGCAAATAGGCTGTCACAGGTAAACAGGAATAAACCAATCATCCCAACAATAAATTGCCAATGTGGTGAGGTGGGTAACAAGGGACTGAAACAAGTGTGCAAAAGACAGAAGAACAGGAGGTGAGATGGCATTTTGATAAGGTGGGTTTGAGAGACTGAGAACAAGATTATGTCTACAAAATATACTGAGACAGGCTGGAGAAATGGCCTTCGAAAAAATTTTAATAGGCATGGTTAGGATTTTTTATTAAATTCCTGAAACAGAAAAAAAGTACCTTCTTTATGATGGTGAGATATGGAACAACTGTAGTTTGTATGAGGATCTATGCTTGTTTTTGTTTATTCTGTTGTTTATTTTATGACCTAGGATTTTTAAACTTTTTTCTTTAATTTTTTGATTTGTTTCTTTTTTTTTTTTTAACTGGATCCTTCACAGAAAGTAAAATCAGTTTAGCCATTTCATGAAGATGTCAAAACGTTGTGTCTTTTTGCACATGTGAGAGCGTTAGAAGAAAGCTGTTGAAAAAACTTGCTTCCATTGGAAAATGTACAGAAGGCAGGGGAGTTTCAGTAACAGAAAGAGACAAAAGAAACTGTGACTGGGACCATATAATCTTTTGCTGGGTACATAGGTGCATGAGAAGATAGTCTCTTTTTTAACTAAGTGAGCACAATACCCCATTTCACGCAGGGAGAGTCAAATGGAGCCAAGTCAGACACCTGTTATCACAGCTTGATAGCTTTTCATTAAGATGAGTTTTTCATTTTGGATTATTTCCAGAAGGCACTGTGCTGTGCTTAGTGTGGGTTCTAGCTTTGCAGTACAATAAGGCAGAGAGTGTAGAAGGAGAGGGAGTAGGAAAAGCATAGTCATTTGGAAAACATAGCTGATCTCAGCTCAGTAATGTTGCAGAGTCTGTCAGCAGCAGAGCAAAAACATTGAATGTAGGAATGTAGGAGTGACTAGATCAACTGCAATATTGGTATTTCAAACCCGTAACAAAGTCTACCACCTCAAGGTGTCTCAGGATGCAAGACTAATTGCAAAACCTTGTTTGCAAAAGTGTACGGGACAGTTTGTGTGGAGGTGAACATGGCCAACCGGCCAGCCTGGTGACAGTTCCATCCTCCCAGCTCCCAGCCGTGGAGTTCAACATCCCCATTTCCTTCTATGTGGTAAGAACACCTGTGTTATACCTGCTAAAATCAAGAAGGACGACGTCAGAAGTTCTGCCAATGGGATACCTTGGTCTGCAGGGAAATACAATTCAGAGAAGGGTCTGTGTGCCATAGCCATTAAACTTAAAAAGCACCAAGTGCCCCTTCCTTAGTTCTTTAATACTTTGATATTCTAGAGTGAAATCTGAGAGATTATTGTGAACCTCTGTGTTGATTTGACTCCTCCTTTAAACCTGGAGGAAATCCAGTGTGCTTGAAAGTTTTTTTAGCTTTTCCAACTGTTCCGATTGTTCTAGTGGAAGTTATGGGTCTACAAAGATCTCCTTGCTTAATGCTGCTAAATTTCATTATGTAGACACTAAATGTCTAAATGTCTACTGTTCTAAATCATCCATTTGCTGGAAAACAAATATTTTAATAGCTGAAACAATGTTTCCAGGAAAGAGCTTTCCACTATTTATTCCACTATAAGGTCCCTGAATCAGTGACTGTGTCTCTGGTTGTTTTGTTTACTGAACAGCACAAGGATTTTGTTTGGGATCCTTTGTTAAACTGGTGTTGAGAATAATCACAGAACTACAGAACCATGGAATGATTTGAGTTGGAAGGAACCTTTAAAGGTGATCTACTCCAACCCCCCCTGCCATGCGCAGGAGCAGTCACAGCAAGGATACTAATCAAAGGTAGCTCCAGGGATCTTACACTAAGATGCTTCTTTTCCTTAGGAAAAACATTATGATCTTTCATGGATGAAAAGAATAGGATTTAATTTACATTACTCAGATGTGGGTTTCAATCATTATTACAAAGGAGTAGATTGCAAAATATTCTGTGATCTTCATATTCCTTTGCTTAAAATACTTCTTGTAAACTTAGCATTATGAACATTGTGAGAGTTGTCACTAATGCCAAATCAATCCTAACTATTATGACCAGACTGGTGCCAACCTCAGTTGCCAATGCACTGTAGTGAAAACACACGAGTGTTTTCTGAAAATAGGATCCAGTAAATAAACACATACCAAAGAGGTCTGTACAAAGCATGGCTACTTAAATGAGCTACCCAAGCCTTTGCTCAAGAGCTGCACAATTTAAGCATGTAGCAGATTGATGTTCATATTTTGCCACCTGTTTCAGTTCCTGAGAGCATCCTTATAACATCCAGTCAAGACAAGTACCTCTTCACTTCTGTCTGTAGAATGGAATAAAGTCTATACATTATGTTGCAAATTGAATCATATAGTTGCATGAAGCATGGAGCTTGTACAGTTTGAAATGGGAATACTGAGTCTAAATTTTCCAATGGAACAATAAATATCCTTCTCAGTCCTTACACAAGGATTTTGGACAACCACTAAAGATTTTATATAAAGTAAGGCCAAAAATTATCCATTTTTTTGAGACAAGTGTTATAAACCCTCTTGGATAAGTGAGCTGAGACCAGGGCTAAAGTTGCAAGCATGATCAACTGAATGAATCAAGAAGAGAAAAACAATATTTAGTATCATTTCCATCTTTGATAGAACTTCATCAATTTATTATCATTGCCATCTGGATTTCAGTCAGCATTCACTAAGAAAATTTACTGGAATATGTTGCTTGTGGCCCAATGATGTCAAGTATGGGTTTCAACTTTGCATTTTCAGTAAAGCAAAAAAGCTGTACAAAAAGAAGACATTATATTCCTCATTTTCCCTGATCATTGTCATACTTTTGTTTTCATTGGTCCTGTTCAAACTTTTTGTCTTGGGCCCTAAGTCTTCATTGAAACTATTACAACTCATAAAAAGCCGTGATGATCTTTAGATGTTTGATGTGATGCTTTTTACCACCTCAATTATCCAAGGTCTTTTGGACTTAACTCTCGTAATCACAGAGCACTGTGTGATAAGTTGCTTTTTCTTCTGCAGGTTGGTCTGGGAAATCAATTTACTGACTCCATCTGAATTGCTCTTGAAATATCATGCTACTTCTTACTGTTCTCAAACATGCATTTTCATTTCCTCACTTTGCTGCAAGAAGCATTAAGTACTAATTTTTATGGCAGAGTGTTCCTTCTTTTATCCCTGTGAATTTGTAAGAGGCATATGATGAATACATTTTAGAAATGGTCTTTTGCTTAACAGAAAAAGATGTTTGCATAAGCTTAGGATTAGTTAAGACAGTTGTGTACAAGAACTGTTGAAGAGCAGGGCATGACATGTTTTATGAAAAGCAGGGAGAACATGAGGCCTATTCTGTAACATCACGAATGGTTAGTAATGCAAGCTCAGAAGAAATCACCTTCCAGATGCTGGTGCAGGCTCTTCTATGGAAGTGTGTCAGAGCCACATGATGAAGTTGCATGGGTAAATTGCACTGAGGTTGTACAACCACTTCATGTCTGCTTGTGAGATTATGGAAATAAAGAAGGATTTAATCTGATTTAATGCAGATCCTTGCTGACAAATCCTTGATCTTTCTAATTCACATCTGTGCTCAGAGATCTTTGGTCTTTCTAATACAGATCCTTCCTGCTTCCCACAAGCATTCTATGACTGCTTTCAGTATCCCAACTTAAAATGTACTAATGTTTGTTTTCTTTTGTGTATTTATATTATGTGTAATGCTTTTCTAAAACTAGCCCCTCTGGTCAGACAAGATTTACTTGATATGTAATAATTATGACTATCTGCTGGGGCAGATTGTGTATCTTCTTATTTTTCCTATCAGTAATATATTTATTTTTAAAAATCTTATCTCCTGCATTAAAAATAAACATGCTCTGCATTCTCAATGTACTCTAAACTATAAAAAGAGAGAAGAATACCTAAAATGTCTCACATGGATCTAAATATTGATGTGAAATATTGTTTCATTCTTCATTCAGTTCTTTCCCTCATGTCCATCTTCTGATAGGTAAGCTGTGTGGAGAAGTGAGCATAGTAGGAGACTAAGAATAGTAAATAGTAACAGTCTTTTCTTCTGCATCTGGAAAATAGAGATACTGATGGTGTTTATTAGCTCCTTTCTCACACAGCCATAGTAATTATGATTCATCATGCATTAAATAGTGATGGACTTCATCCTCTGATAAAGGTAACTAGTTTTCATTTACATCTAATAAGTCTGCTTACAGTAGTTTGCATATAAACCTTTATTTGTGACATCAAATCAAAAAGTCATATAATTTTGGCTGCTAATTTGCTAAGGTTTGAGCCTCACTTTCCAAGATTGAAAGCTCAAGGGTAGAAGCAATGAGAAAAATGCAGCACCTGAGAAAACTGGAACCAGAATGTTTCAAGCTGAGCCCACAAAAAATAGGGAAGTAAAAGTAAACCCCTCCTCCAGTAAATCTAGCTCTGGGGAAGTCTAAAATTGCTCCTTCTCTTCTCTACTTCCTTGTAGCATATTTCTGGATGTTATTCACTATATTTTTCAGGTTATACTGCATGTTAACAATCTTTATTCAAAGTAATTTTTCTGTCTTTTCTATTATCTCATTAGTTTTGCTATAAATTTTGCCCCGGTGCTTCTTTGTTCTTTGGATTTTTTTCTCTTTTTAGTTATGTTGATCTGCATACAATAGTATGGAAAATATGTGATAGTTTGCTTGCTACTGGAACGCAAATACTCTAAAACTGTACTTTCTCCTTTTGCATTATTCCAGGGCTGATGGTTTACTATCAGTAATACAAGGTGATTTGTACATGTCAGACATTTCCATATGTAAGGTGAAAGAATAGCTTCAGTAAGTCTTCATTCTAATCCTTTCTGAAGCAAACTTCAATTTATACACCCTGAGATTTCCACTGCCTCACAATATGTTCCAAGTATTTCCTGGTCTTTAAGGCAATAGGAAACTGCAAAATACTCCATGCAAAGCAAAGCTGAAACAAAAGCAGGATTAAAAATCTTGTAAACTAGATCATGTGTTAGTGCAGACAGTTATAAAATCTGCTTGTGTTTGTTCATGAATCTCTCCTACATGGGAAAAGTCAATTGCAATTGATTATTATTTGTGGATAGTAAAAAATATAAAAGCATTTACCTGTCAGTCTATTTGAAACTGCCTGCAAGCTACAGATCTTGAAAATGTCATGACTGAAGTTGTGGAAATGTTTCATTTCTCTTTATTGCCACTGGTTCATGGTCACTGGTTCATATTCTTTTTGTGGGCATGAGTTGCTCTAGTACAGATATTCCTTGTTTCTGTTTTTGCTGTTTATGAGCTGTGATGGATTTTAAATGCTAGCATGGCTTTCATCTGCCTCAGCAGAAGGTAATTGTTGCAAGTTCTAATGCAAATCTTCTTTTATTTCAGATCGACCTGAGAAAATGTTCCAAATCCTCACAATACTGTTGCTGGAAACAAAGCTCTCCATGGTCTCAGGTAAGAGAGAAACTGCCTTTCAGTTCCACTAGCAGAACTAATGCAGCTTTTACTATGTGAGCTTCAACACCTCCAGCAATACTTGCAGGAATGGTCAATAATGTCTGGAGCCTCTGCTTTCCATCTTATAGAAGGCACTGGTACTGCCGGAGCACAGGATAGGTGTCTGTCACTTTCCAGTCAGGCTTCTTTAACGCATTGTGTATTGGCAGCTGAGATGTCCAGCATCAGTGGCATGGCTGTGAGAAGGAGAATGACCAAAGTGACCAATGCCCACTGGGAAACATAACAATCTCAGTGTGAGATGGCGTGAAGTATAATCACTTGCGTTCCCCTGTCCATGCCTGTAGCAGAAGCAGCTTGGCTAAAACCCAAAAGGAGCTTGCACTTTTTCACATAATTTTCTCCCTTGCTACAGTTGTATTATAGTGAATAAAAAAACATCGCTAAGAAGAACCTAGCAGTGCTAAGGTTTCCCTGTAAGTATTTCAGAGACACATAAAACAAAAAGAATGCCTAAACAGTTGCACAGAGTTCTCTTTTCAGTGTCTCTACCAAGACTTCCAAGTGCTCCTGAATTGTCAACCAATATATAGCACATCCAATACAGAAAGCAGTAACAAAGTATATTGAATGATGTATTAGAAATAACTCTGCCATATCAAGTACAGTTTAAAATGGAGACCTCTTCATAACAATATTAATTTTGGATTGGGTGAATGGCTAAGATTATTTTGATATATTTTCTGTAATACTGTTGCATGTATCTGAGAAAATGCATGAGATCAAATGATACTCACATAGTTCCAGGTTTGTGGAGACTGTAATTGCTACATAGCAATTTTGAGCTATACACATTTATCCAGTGCACCTCTGTTTCACAGGAACTACACTGGTATTTCTTTTTGTGAATGATAGTGACATTAGATTTAAAATTTCCACAATTAATTGTTGCTTTTACTACAACCTTAGGACAAGTAAGAGACCATATCATAGTTTGATAAAAATGGTCCCTGTGTAGCCACTGGCCTAGCTTTAAATTACTCATAAAATGCAAAAAAAAAACCCCAAAAACAAACAAAACCCACCATCAAAAACTGGGTCATTCTGCCCTCATCTTTCAGATTCTGTAATCAATACAGAATATCGATGATTTGCTGTAATTACTATGTGGTAAAAATATTAGTGTGAATATGAACAAAAAATGCTTAAAACTTTTAGTCAAATCATATACTCTTGACTATCTGTATACAGGATACTATCTGTACACTATCTGACACAGTTTTGTCCAACTTTAAAGAAAATCAGAACATATTTTGATGAAACAAATGAAACTGTTCTCTTTTCCTCACATAGCTTTATTTACAGTTGAAGTTCCTCAACAGCTGTACACTGTGGAGTATGGGAGTAATGTAACCATGGAATGCAGATTCCCTGTGAATGGCTCAGTGGATCTAGGACTCCTGACTGTTGTTTGGGAACAGAAAAGGCAGGGCTCATTGAAATCAAAAGAGGTGTACACATTCCGCAATGGGAGGGCACTCCATCCATCTCAACATCCTGATTACATAGGAAGAGCATCACTTCTGCACAGTGGACTGAAGTTGGGACGAGCCATCCTCCAGATCACCAATGTTAAGATAACAGATGCAGGATCATACCTTTGTCTCATTGACTACCAGGGCGTGGACTACAAGTACATTGCTTTGGAAGTAAGAGGTGAGTGGTTAAATTAAATGTAATTGTGTATTCATTGAGATGTCTCTACTAAATTCCTACAGGCTTGTAGAAACTGGTTAATCTGAAGGAATTTGTAGCTAGTTGTCTGTTGTGATACGGCACGAAATGATGACACAGACACTGCTGCTCTCGAGGGGAACAAAAAGGAAGAAGTAGAAGAACTTTATTTTCTGACTCCAACATTTATAGTTTTCCAAAGGTGACAGTGGATTGGAGGGTGACAGTGCCACCTCTCCAATGCCACTGGACAGACCAAGGGTCCATCAATTCTCTCCACCTCCATGAAAGAATGCAAAACATAGGTTATTTACAGAACTGTGTGTGAGAAAGTTTGTTGAAAGAATGCAAACATCAGAAGGCTTAACAAAGTCTTATAAAATCAGGGCGACAGTTGTCCCATTAAGACTTTGTACTCATCCCCCAGCTGAACCAAAGCAAAGTTGTCTTAGTGGTGGCTAGGGTTCAACAGCTGAGCTCCTCCAGGGGCATCTGGTGCTGGGAAGGGACAGCATCTGTTCTCCTTCCATCCTTCTTTCAACAGCCTTCTTCTCCAGTGCCACCACCTCCTTCCTCTTCTTTGATCCCCTTGTTGGGCCACCCTCTGGTTATTCCAAAAAGTTTCTCAGAGATGCTTTGATATACTTATTAATCCTGCTGCAATGACCCAAGTGGCTGGGGATTCCCCAAGTGACTGCACTTCCCAGAGCAAGGACATGTGATTTTCTGTGTCCATTGAAGTCAAATGGGCATTAGTAATAAAGGTATATGTTAATGCAAAGTATGACAAACCAGATCTTTGAAAGATTTTGGTGTTTCTCACTAATTGCATGTGTTTGTGATGCAAGGCAGAATTAATTTCCCACCCAGATATTTAAATAACAATATTTATCAAATGCAAATATGGACACACACATTCTCAAGACCCACATTAGTTCCTATGAAAAGTCAATTTTTTTCTAATATGATGAAAATATGACACTGTTTATAAGCTATGAAATCAGGCTTTCTGGAAGTGGCATATTCTAAAAGTGAAAATAAGAGTCCCATAAGATTCCACTTGTCTGTTCTGTCTTAATAAATCACAAATTTAGTGTCAACTGCTGCCCTGTATAAAGTACTTGAGTATGCTCTTTTGCTGTAGGCATGGTAAGGATTGAATAATCCATTTTGCATTGTTCTACAAAACAACCTTCATCATTTTAAATACATGTTCCACAGATGTAGCCAGAGACAATACATAGCATTAAAAGGAAGCAGGGAAAGTGAAGTGAGAAAATTACTATTGTTGCATACAAGAATTTCACTCAACAACTTCTCATGCAGCATCTTACAAGAGAATAAACACTCAAGCAATGAGAGTACCAGATGAAGACAAGTTTGTTTTTATGTGCCAGTCAGAAGGCTTTCCTCTGGCAGAGGTTTTCTGGCAAAATGAGAACCTCAATCTCAGTGGATCTGCAAATACCACCTATACACTGACTGCAGATGGCCTCTACAATGTCACCACCATCCTGACATTCAAACCAAATATGAGTGAGAACTACACTTGTGTCTTCTGGAATAAAGAACTGAATGGAGAAACTTCAGCTCACTTTTCCACTTTAGGTTCGTATGACCTTGAACTTGTACAGGACAGTGTTCATACATACATCATGTGCTATGCTCCATCACTGGAGTTCAGTTCTAGAAATCAGTGTAATATTGATTCTTGATAAACTGTACAAGTCAATATTATTTATGTCTTTGAAGTCAGCTAGCTTCCACTCCAACAAACCAGTCTGTATTTTTCTGTATATTTTAATTTTAGAATAGCTTTCCTTATTTTCCTGCCAATACAGAGGGAATTTTTTCAGCTGCAGGGGCATCTTCCCTGATAGTCTCCTACTTAATTGTTCTATCTAGTTTTCTACCTTGACTTCAGCAAGGCTTTTGACACTGTCACCCACAATATCCTCATGGGTAAGCTCAGGAAATGTGGGTTAGATTAAAAGGATCAAGAACTGGTAAATTACAGAGTCCAGAAGGTCATGATCCTAGGAAGAGAATACAGATGGAAGCCTGCTGTCAGTGGCATTCCCTAAGGATCAATATTGGGTCCATTCTTATTCAATTTATCAACAACCCGGACAAAGGAATCAAAGGCACCCTCCACAGGTTTGCTGGTGACACTAAACTGGGTGCAGTGGCTGATCCACCTGTAGGCTCTGCTGCCATTCCACGGACCTTGATTAGCTGGAGGGTTGGGCAGAGAGAAACCTAGTGAGGTTCAACTGAGGGTAAGGTCCTGCACCTGGGGAGGAATGCCGCACACGCCAGCACAGACTGGGGCTGACCTCTGTGAAGTGGTTCTGCAGAGAAGGACCTAGGAGTCCTGGCAGACAAAAAGCTCTCCATGAGCCAGCCAAGAAAGCTAATGGTATCCTGGGGCACACTAGGAAGAGCATTGCCAGCAGGTTGAGCCAGACGATCCTGCCCCTTTAGTCAGCAGTAGTGAGGCCACATCTGGAGTGCTGTGCCTAGTGCTGTGCTCAGTTCTGGGCTCCTCAGGACACAAGAGAGAAGGAGGTACTGGAGAGGGTTCAGCAATGGCCACAAGGATGATGAGGGGTCTGAAGCATCTCTCTTATGAGGAGACACTGTTTAGTTTGGAGAAGACTGAGAGGACGTCTCATCAATATATATAAATATTTCAAAGGCAGATGCCAATAGGATAAATAAAAGATTTGAAGGCTTTTTTAAAGGTTTTTCACGGTAATATTTCAGAACAAATTATTAATGACTGTAAATCACTATGCTGATAAATTTTAAAAATCCCTTGTTCAGTCAGAGCAAGACTTTGGAGAAACAGAACCAGTAACTTGATAAACAATGCCTGTTTTGTAAGTTATAAATTTATTCTCCTTTAATGTTTTTAACAGCTTTAATGAGTACACAGTACAGTGGACAAAAATTCCTGGTCTCCTTAATCATCCCCACATGTGTGACTGTAGCTGTCCTTCTCTCTGCACTAATAATATTTCAGAAGAGAAAATCATTCAAGAATGAACAACCCAAAAAAGGTACATTTTACTTCAGATAGTGAAACTTTTTACTATTTCTTTACTTTTTCCTATGAACAACCTCAAAGAAATTTTAATAAGGCACACTCACATGTCACGTTTTATTTCCAGATTACAAGAGGCTAGAAAAGGAGATCTTGGGTTTTATTGAGTTGGGTTTTATTTTCCTCACTGTGTTACCTATGTGAGACAAGGTGTATGGAAGGATACATTTTTAAAGCTAACCAGTTAGTATTCTGTACAGAGCAAAACAAACTTTGTCTTGCATAAGGAGGACTGTAAAAGCATAGTTTGAACAGTGTTTTCTTCATAGCTGCAAAGACATTGTGGCTACAGTATATTACACAGAATTTTTATTTTCCAACACCATTTTGGGTCTATAACTAAAATGGTGTGATACAGGACTATCACAGTATTTCCTTTCTTGTTTGCACTTGCAGTAATACAAAACTAATAAAGCAAACAGACTATTATTCTAGTATTTTCTTGCACATGAACAGACTCCAGTAAACCAGACTATATGTATTTATAGTCAAGAAAGGAGAGTCTTAACATTATGACTTCAGAATTTGATTGAAGTTTTGTAAAGTTTTTGATTCGAGTTTTGTAAAAGAAAAGTAGAGAGGTTTATTTATTTTATATGATTTAATAATAACTTACAGCTCGGTTTAATGTAAAGATTTGTTGAATAGTTATAGTTACAATACAGTTTCTTTCAAATCTAGAAATGTTTAAGCTAAATTCGTATATATTTGCTTTAACAGACAGGAAAAGAAAACTGAACCCTAATGCAAAGGATGAGAACAGTAAGTCATAGGCAATTTTTAAAATTTACATTTACAGATTTTTCTTTCTTACATCTAAAATCTTAAAAAATATGTAAATTGAAACCTAAATAATGTTACATCAGAATAGAGGGTAGTTTTGAGGTTAAATTTTTTTATTCTTGAGTTTTTTAAAAATGCAGTTTCTAAAGATTTTACTTTCTCTTAGGCAATGTAAAAAATTATAAATACTGGTTCCCTTTCACTGAGGTACCAATAGCTTTCATGCACAACTCAGCACACACCTCTGCATACTACCTGGGATTCTAATAGTCTTGGCTGACAAGGATACTCACAGAAAGCTGGTTTTTTTTGGATAGCATCAAGATTTTTGTGACAATAGTGTGTTATACTTTTGGATCAGGCTACAGGTTTTAACAACCAATAAAATGATACCTCATTTATCTGGAATACTATATCATGTCCTACGCTACGTCTTGTCCTATAACAATCTGACTTGCCTAGACATCCAGAAATTTTTACATTTCAGAGGGAATACCTAAAAAACCGTCAGGATGCATCTAACTGCTCCGTACTAAAATTAAACTGAAAAATAAAAAAGATACCACTATGGAAAATGATAAATCAGCATGACAAGGAAAATCTTAATACACTTACTGATATAAATCAATTTTGTTACCTACAGATAACAGTTTAACAGGCTAATGCATTGTGAGGTAAGAGGCTGTGGCCAATGTTAGATACTTGGTTTAGCCATAATTCCTTTGTGTCCAAGCAGACCCTCACATAGCATATTGATGTCAGCCCTGAGGCTGCCAAGGAGCACAAATGGAATAATACTGTGATGCAGCTAACCAAGTGAACAGAGACAACTCAGTGCTTTTCCAAGGAGAGAATTTCTTTGAGAATCCACCCATGTTTCTCACTGCTAAAAAAAATACATGAAGAAGACCTTAAAATTAAATTTTGTAGGTGAAACCTAGAGACTGGATGAAGAAGGCATGAATTCACTCATTTCCAAATCACCTCAGATTGTCATGTTTGCAGCTTAACAGTGTTTGATCCACTGCCATCAGTAAATACTGCAATTGAAACAACATTTTCAGAAAGACACTTTCATCTTCCAGAAACCTTGCTGCAGTCAAAGTCTCATTCTTATTTTTCATGTGACAGTGTGAAACTTTAGTGGCATCATGCCATGCACTAATGAACGCAAGCTCACAGCAAGCAGCATTCTGGAGAACAGCGTTGGTGCATGTCTGGACATCATTCCAGTGCACATTGTCCAAGCATAGCTTGGCTTCCCCTGGCTTTTTGTATTACTTTTGTATTTTTCTTTTGTATTTGTATTTTGTAGCCTCTTCTGTGCACTTAGTGAAATGAAGAAATTAAAGGAGACAAGGCCACTCTTTGTGGTTTTACTTCTTCATTTTAATGACAAAAAAACTTTGTCTTACTTGCAACATGCAGTAAGTCAGATGACAAACATTTATATTTCTCAGCATTGGATATTTTTAAGAAACCCTGGAAAGAACCTTTTTTCCATGATGAGTAGGTAGTTGAAGCATAAAAGCCACAGATACTTTACCACAGTGCCTTGGAAATGACCCATACAGTCCTGGTTACAGGAACAGGGACTGTTAATGCTAAGTTTTAACTTACAGCTCAAGCTGTATCAGAATTGAATATGTAGGACATTTAAACTCATCACTGAAGTCCCAGTTTGCACACTTTTAATCACATGCACATATTTACTGACAATCATTACCATGGATTGGTAATCTAAACAGATTTCAGTTTTGTTATTTCATTTATATGGCTGAAAGTGAGTGATAGCTTTGCTGTAATAGAAACTTCAGAATTTGCACTATAGATAAAAGAGATAATTCTTTCCTCAGAAAAGACTGCAGCAGACGTTCTTGTAAATTATAACAGCTTTAAGGAGCCATTATAACTTCAGCATGATCCAGGAGACAGTTTTCATTCTTTACCACTCAGTTGTTAAAATCAGGCTTTTTATTTTCTTAAATCACTGCAGATTTTTAAACTAAAAATATTGCATTTTCTTTCTTTAAGGTGATGATTTTAACTCTCAGTCTGAGGCTTTATACTTGTCAACTGTCACAGCTTCAAGAGACTGTGGGAGTGTGAGTCTGTGAAAATTCTTCATCTTACATTCCATAATTTGCACTTTTACCATCGGTTTTTGGGGACTTCAAAAGAAAATGACAGCACTTTAGCCTTAGGATAAACAGTGAACTCATGGGGATGTATTTGCACTGCAGCGATGGAAAGCTATGCCTCCTCAGATACCATATCTTCTTGAAGTTACTGAGAACTATGCTGTCACGAAATGTGGTTTACCACTGTGGAGAGGTCAGCTGAGTGCCTTTGATACACTTTACTTTTGGACTTACTGTTGCTCAAGGGATTTTTGTTTAAGAATGCCTTTATCAACTGTTCCAGTCTCAGGAATGGTGCTTGGAGTAAAAAATCTTGTGGAATTTGAATAAAAGCTGTAAATACTATTTATGTCAATTATCTTTCTGGTGGAAACATCATTACATGCCCACATCCCATTTCCAAATTTTCTAACATATTAAACTGGGTATTACCACAGGTACTCACTCGCATCATTGTATCCACTCATATAACTTGTATCATTCTTGTATCTAGAACATATTTCATATCACAACAATAAGAGGTTGAAATTAAATCAAAGGACAGACCAAAAAAAAAAAAAAAAAAAAAAAAAAAAAAAAAAAAAAAAAAAAAAAACCAAAAACAACCCACCCAATATTAGCAATAAATCAACATGATGTTGCATAAGAGAATTAGAGAATTTTCACGTGTATATAAAACCTCACAAGTAAGCCAGGTGAAAAACTATGAACTGTGATACTATGCTACATGACAGTAAAAAAGTTTCAAATTTGAACTGATTATTCAACAGAATTTTCTTTAGGAGGAATTTGGAAGCAAAAATGAAAATGAAGCTCAGACAGATTTCTCCACTGGTTATTTTTAAACAGTAATTTTGCCTTTGTTCAGACGAAGAAGTGAGTCTTTTCTATGCCAGGCTGCTTTGCTTCCTAATACTGGAATGCCAGATTTGGAAAAACATCCAAAATGAAACAACTTTCCCTCTTAGTCAGTCATGAGATAGTGAAGTAAGGGCACTGGGTAAGATCTGTCATATTGTTTTGAAAGACCAGTGGCTTTAGTAAGCTGTGTTTTCTACTAAAATAGATGTAACAAGATTGAAGAAAGGTATTCACATGGAAGCTACTTCTGCTATGATCCTGCTTTTAGAAGAGTTCCACTGATTGAAGTTTTTGGATAGCACTTGTTCTGAATTTGCATGGGAACTGCTTCTCCAGTGTCACTTTGCAGCTATTTATTTCAGGAAAAAGTGGACCTACAGTGCTGCTATGAGACCAGAACATCAGCATTCGCCCTCTCTTGTTTCACCAGGACAGGTGATTTTAAAAAGCAGGACTGCCATTGATTTTATTTGTGGAGAACAAAAACTAATCTCTTTCTGACATAATCTGTAATTTAATATCCATGTATTGCATCTTTAATTACCCATTTGTAGCCACTGTATTCAGCTGAGACAAATCCGCACTAGGCTTGCGATGTCCTATGTCCTTGCTGACATGGCAAATCAGGCACATGTCAGAAAATCAGAGGCAGCTTCTTAAAGCATTGGTTAGCTTAATACGGAATAGCAGCTTGGGAACTGCACTGGCTTGCACCATTTAGCAATATTTAAGGGTCAGTACATAAGGCCAAGCAATTTCTCTCTGTTCCAGATTTATACTCTTCTGGGAACTACGAGCCCTTGCTCTTCTCTCAGCCATGGCAAAATCTAACCCACTGTGTTCCTGGAAAGAGTTAATTTTGCATTTTTCTATTTATTTTTTCCTCATGAAAATGAAATGGAAGTAATAAAAAAGGAATTGATGTGGATGAACATAAATACTGCAGTCTTTGCAATTAGGTTATGGTGATTATCATTGTTCCTCACTGAAATGGAAGTCATCTTGTCATTATTTTATACTGGTGAGTAAATGCTGTCTTGGTGTGAGCAACAAAGAACAAGTGTGGGTAGCACTTCGTGCCTATTTTACAGGCATGGCAAACACTACCCTGCTTTCCCTCTTACTGGATTGTACACTGAAAGGTTTCACCTGGCATCCCTAGGCAGGGGCAGCTCAGTTTTCCACAACACTCCTATGCCCTATCCACTCTATTTCATTATGAATGGAACAATAGCACTGTTTACTGCAATAGCTATAAGAATACCTAGAAACATATTTTGGCTCATGAGTTTCTATATTCACCAGCTCTCACTGGATGCTTATGAAGCTGTCACATCTTAGTATGTGAAAGTTAGCTTGTCAGCAGCTTGGCCAGTCTATATATGCCTATGAGTTCATGCAAGACTTGTCTTTTACTGTAAACCACTGAGCATATGATACATGTGTGATGAGTCTCTGTTCTTTCTGCTTCACCTACTGTTTTACATGCTGTTATCTCCAAACAGCTGAAGTGAGTTCTCACATACAAACTGCCTGCAAAATGTTTGAAGGTTTTGTGTTCTGTTTTACTGGGGTGTTCTCTCTGTGGTTTTTGTTGTTGTTCAGTTTGTTTGTTGGATTATTTTTTTAAAATTGGGTTGCTGGAGGTTTTTGTTTGGTGTTGTTGTTGTCTTTTTGTTTGGGTTTTTTATAGTTTTGAGCTTTACAGTGAGTCATAATGTTGTCAGACCATAAAACTATTAGGTATTTTTAGAGTTTGACTTTCATCTCCATATATTTTTCTCAATTAGGTGATTGTCATAAGCAACAGCATCTTGTGTACTGGAAAAAAAGTAGGGATTCAACTGAAGTTGGTGGAATGTTTGTGAAAACATGTGCAAAGATTCTACTCAGTGGTTTATAGTCACCTAAAACATAGCTCACTGAACTTTAATGATTTTCACAAGCAACCGTTTTTCACAAGCAAGTAGAGAGTTTGTTTTCAGTATTGAATTTTACTGGTATGGCTAAGGAAAATCTTTTCCAATCCACTGACCTGCTTTACTATGTATGAATGAGATACTTGCCATTTTAGCATAGGAGCAACTGGCAAATTGGGTGATTAGTATTTCTGTTCATTCTGCACCTCTGCCATCTACCAGAGATTTTAAGGGCTTACAGTAGGTTTATTTAATCTTTTCTACAACCGCAACATTTTCAGTAGGTGTGAGTTGCAGTTTGGTCTGTGATTAAGAGCATAGAGCAGAATAAGATTAGCTGTTTGTACCAAGTTCACTTTCATAATGGCAGCAGCCTAAACCTATACTATTTTCTTGATTCCCATTACCATAGACATGCCTGAAAGCAGCTGCTAACATCAAGAAGGTTTATTATCTGGAAGAAGACTGAAGGGAAAGAGATATTCCTAACAGCCAGTTGAAATGCCTTGCAAGACTTAAGTCTGCACACTAGAAAACCAACAGCTGATTCTGATTATGGGAGCAATTGGAAATGTCTTTTAGAATTTTGGAATCAAGAAACCCCTATTATTTCTTAAGAAATACTGCAGTCATCTTTTCTTACAGAATTTCTTCTTTCATCTGACACAACCATCCAGTTTAGCACCACAACCATTACCTACCTACTCCACAAAACAGTTACAGAGAAAGGTTTTACAAACCTCCTCTATACAGTCAGTAAAGGGTCACTGTTAGGAATAAGTCTAACTTGTCTTTTCTTTCTGTGGGGATGAGGATCAACTAAGCAATCTTAGAAGTCCCTTCTAACCCAAAATGACCTTTGACCGTAAATTTGTTGCTCACATTGACTTCCATAACCTTTGTAATTATCTGGTTTTTCTTTTACTCTGATGAACATGTGGCCTTAAAGTACAGCCTTAGATCAATGACTACGATCTGGTTCAACAAGATATCCTGGTTTTCCTCACCATATGTCTAGCACACTCTGTAATACTTTTTTATAGCCATTGCTTGTTACTATTTCACTAAAACTCAATATGCAGCCATATGGTAAAAAGTAGCTGAAACAGGTAAGTGCACTGTGCAAATATTGTTAAAAGCTGACTTTAATGAACTACTGAGTTCACTTTTAGTTTTATTTTCAATGCAATTTTCAGCAGCTAATGTTTGTTTACTCACAAGCACATTTCCTTAATGGGCTTTTCTAAGTGAGAAGTGAAACATTTTTCATGCGAAGTCTGTGTTAGAAACTACTTTACATAAAGAATGATGCAGTAGAAATTTGCACAGTGGGCTTAAGCTCATTCTTTACATGTGTTTTTCAAGCAGTAGGGTGAGATGATTACCTGAGTCTCAGCTGATGAAGGTGGTGCTTTCACTGGTGAGGGGGGGAATCTACCTAGTCAGAAATTTGGGGTTCTAATTACAACATTGCTAGCAAGAGGATTTCTGTGCTACTGGACAACAGTATTTGTTGTTTTTTTCAGGTGATATGATGAACATACTCCTTAGAGAAGTAAAATAGATAATTGTCAGTCTTAACTATCCAAACCTTGCAAAACAGAGGCTGGGTATCAGTGAATAGATGTACAAACTTGAGAAAATCACTAAGAAACGAGAAGCCGTTGGTGAGAATAGGGAACAGGAGAAGGTCAACGATTTTTTTTTTCAAGAAGGACACAGATTGTTTGTGAAAATAATAAAGTCAGATGAAGTACTGAAAGAACTTCCTAGTTCATATAAGAAGTTATAACTGCTGAGCCATGTTTCTGTACACCCCCAAATTCTACAGTCGTAGTGCACAGATGTCCCTCAGACTGGTAAGAAAACTGAGAAAGCAAGACAGCTTTCTGAAAAATTTATTGAGTAGAAGCAACATTTTAGACCTCCATGCAGTATTTGATTTTCTCTATGTTTGCTATGCATGTACTTTATGCTCCTAAAGAGTTGTGAAGTAAAATGCAAGCCACAAAGGGTAGATCTTGCTGAGATACTGGGAAAGATGTCAGAGGCTAGAGCCTGCTTCTGGTCCAGTTAAATGCTCAAAATCAGGCACCAGAATCTAATTCACCAAACCTAAGATATGAAGTATCTGGTGAATTCCCATCTGTGAAGTTTATTTAAATGAAATTTCACAGAGATGTATGAAAATTAGCA